GGTAAAATAGGATACGGATCGCAGTTAATGACATCAAGATAAAAAGGCATCCGAGTATTTTCTCCCTTCTTTGTGTTAGGAGACATATTCTTTAGACAGCTTTCTAGATATGCCTCAGTAATAAAGGTGTGCAAATGTACTGATGCAAAATGGTCATAATTTTGAGGTTGCTGGAAGCATTCTTTCTCATGAACATTGAGAAGCTGACGCTGACCTCTTGCTTGACACTCGTCGTATCGACATTTGACCTCTTCGTATTGACACTCTCCTTCTCTCTTCCCTTTATTAAGGTGAGTAGATAGCTCTTTCAATTCTCCTTTCCATTGACATCCTTCCCCCATATTAGTACAATAGACTTGTAATCCATTAATGATACGAGATACATTCTTATTTATGGAGGAGTCATATTCCTGCTCCATACACCTGGGACAGGATCCATTGCTTTCCTTTATTCCCTCAATACAAGACTCGCACACATTATTTCCACAGCAGCTCACCTGATGAGGATCTGTCAAGATATTGAAACAAACTGGACACTCTATCTCCATCTGTTCAGGTACTTCTTCAACGAATAAAAGTTCATCTTTTGAATATCTCTCCATTGAAAAGCTAGCAAATGCAAATATGCAAACAGCCCCACCCTATTAAAAAGGTGGAGCTCCTTTTCTCCAACAATACAAGAATTAATTGAAGTTATGCAAAACAGCATTATTTAATAACTAGCATACAATATCCACTAGTTCAAACAGTGCATATCTACAAAAATCCAAACTTCATTTCAAAATAACAATTGTGACTTCATTAGGAGAAGTAAGAACAATGCTTATTAATCTTATGGAATTGAGGGAGACCTGTAAACAAATTGATTCTTCATCATATGGTATTCTACGTGATCTATGCTGACTAATCTCGCGTAGCGAGGCTTGCCCTTTGTAGCTGCCCTGAGGTATGCTGTGTTGAACCAATGGCAGACCAAGAGCATCATGTGCCAACTTTTTTCTTGACCGTATTGGAACATGCTTTGCATCACCAGAATCAAGTAACATAAAAAATTTTGGAGAGCCAAGTGTGCCAATTCTATCAAACTTTCCTTCATGAAATGCAAGTAGTAATACTGCTTCATATGGACGAGTCATTAGAACTGCTGACATATGATGACCACCAAGTTCAGTATAGAAATGAACAACATCATCACGTCTACTAACTGTGACTGGTAGAATAGGATGTGTATGATTATTAATGACACCAAGAAAAGCAAACATTTGGGTGGTCATTTTTTCTTTGTAGTCCTTTATTTTCTTCATTTCTTCTCTTATTCTCTCATTCTCTTTTTTTATTTGTTCGTTTTCTTTTTTCAGTTGTCCACAAGCTACAGCTAATAGTGTCATGTGTCACATTATTGGTACTCTCTAATTAAAAAAAAATATACACACATTATAATAAAAATACTAATGTAACTACATGTAAAAAAATGAGGGGGTACACTCCTTCATCATGCCCTGACATACAAACAGGACTATTTCTTCACAAATGACGGCAGTCTTTTCCTAGCGAGATATGATTTGGGTACTACTCTGGGTGCTGTCACAGTGATTTCATTAGCAAAAGTAAGTGTAATGTCAATGCTGCTGGCATCAACAATAATATGTATGGAAGTTAGTTCATCATCTTGTATTTCTGATGGTTCCATTACTGTCTGTGTGAGATAATTATCATTTACTTTTCTATACAAATTTATCTGTACAGACTGTGCATGATCACTACCATATTTCACTAGAATTTTAGGCTGGGAAAATGCACTGACTTTATCAAACTTTCCATCATGAAACGCAAGGTAGAGTTTTGGGTGAAGAAAGACGGCTGACATGTGATGATCATTAAGTTCAGTATAGAAATGAACAGGATCACCATAATCATTAACTGTGACTGGTAGAGTAGGATGTGAGTCATAATTAATGACACGAAGACAAGACAGTATTCTGGCATGCACTACTTCTGTTATTTCATTTTCTTCTTTTAAATTCTCAATTTCTTTTGCTGTTTTTTCCTTTATTTTCTCAATTTCTTTCATCATTTCTTCTTTTATTTTCTCATTTTCTTCTTTTATTTGTTCATTTTCTTTCTTCAATTGTCCACAAGCTACAGCTAATAGTGTCATGTGTTTAGTATCAGCAGTGTGTACATGTACATCTTTACGTAATGGCTTATCGTTACAACCAGCCCAACTAAACACACAATCTACTGGCTCTAATGGACACTGGGTCAAATGATCAGGAACACTATCTCGAGGTATAACAGAACTTGTACAATCGTTGGGGCATTTTGTAGGATACTTTGGGCAAACTGCTATATGTGAGAAGGTAATAGATAAATATATACCTTCCGCATAGCAATGCTGACATAGGTATGGTCGTTGGTCGCACCACTCCTCCTCGTGAACATTAAGATGTTGACGTTGATTTCTTGTTAGACACTCATCATATTTACATTTGACCTCTTCATATTGACATTCTCCTTCTCTCTTCCCTTTACTAAGGTGAGTGGGTAGATACTTCAAATCTCCTTTCCATTGACAACCTTTCTCCTTATTGGTACAATAGACTTGTAGACAATTAATGATACGAGATACATTTTTATCTGCAAAATATTGGTATGTCTCCTCTTTACACATAGGACAGGATCCATTACCATCCTTTATCCTCTCAATGCAAGACTTGCAGAAATTTCTACCACAGCAGCTCACCTGATGAGGATCTGTCAAAATATGAAGACAAACTGGACACTCAATTTCGATTTGATCAAGTACTTCCTTAACAAATGAAAGCTCATCTTTCGAAACTTGTGCCATCATAGACACTATGCCTATGCCCTAACTTAGTCTCACTAGCCCTAACTATGGTTGAACATGACATGTGACTGTTATGATTGGTCACTATGATAAGAGCAATAATAATAGTGATTACCTGAGATACAACAAAATTAATGCAAAACATGTCATTTAGGGAATTTTTCCAAGTCTATGATCCTTCAAATACTGGCAGCTTGACAATAAGTGATTAATTTTTAGAAAAGTAGGATTTAAAAATCTAATTTAATTGGCAGTTTTTTGAATTTAATATTGTCACAGGTTATTAAGGTGTTGGGTTTTAAGGTAACTAGGAGACGACTGCAGGAGCTAATGAGAGAAGAAGAGATAGGGAAGGAAGGACTGATAATGTATAGTAATCTATTGCAGCTAGTCTGTAGATTACAGGGAGCTGCTTATGATAGCTATGGAGCAATAGAACAAGTAAAGTGATTATTATCACTAATGGGGTTATTCTTGTTAGGCTTTAGACAATTGTGATGGAAAATTATCTGCCAAAGATTTACAGGCTATTTCAAAGAGTTATGGATTAAAGTAATTAGATACCATTGGTGTGTTCGTCTAATCAATCTATATGAAGATTGTCTCCAGAGGATATTGATGGTATGATTACTGAAGCCAATAGAGATGGAACTGGTTTAATAACATTACAAGAATTTATTGAAGTTATGCAAAAAACACCATTATTTAATTAGCAATCTACATAGTACATACATAAGCCAAAACTGTTCACATCATTGGTACTCTCTAATAAAATATAAAAATAAGCACGCTTGATAATAAAAATACTAATGTAACTAAAACAATGAGGGGCTATGCTCCTTCACCATGCCCTGACATACAAACAGAACTACTGCTTTAAAAGTGACAGTAAGTGTGTCACATCAAAATATGATTGGTGCACTGTCACAGTGACTTCATTAGAAGAAGTAAGTGTAATGTTGATGATGTCAATGACATTAACAATATGTATGGAAGTTAGTCGATTATCTTGTAGTTTTGATGGTGCCTTTACTGCCTGTTTGAAAATATTATTATCTACTTTTCTATATGAATTTATCTGTACAGGCTGTGCATCATCACTATCAAATTGCAATAGAATTTTAGGGCAGGAAAATGCACTGAATCGATCAAACTTTCCAACATGAAATGCAAGGTAGAGTTTTGGTTCAAGAAAGGCTGCTGACATATGATGAACACCAAGCTCAGTATAAAAATGAACAACATCACCATGTCTACTAACTGTGACTGGTAGAATAGGATGTGAATCATTGTTAATGACACCAAGATAAGACAGTGTTCGGGCATTCACTTCTTTTGTTTTTTCATCTTCTTCTTTAATTTGTTGATTTCTTTTGTTGTTTCTTCTTTTATTCTCTTGTTTTCTTCTTTTATTTGTTCATTTTCTTTCTTCAATTCTCCACAGGCTGCAGCTAATAGTGTCATGTGTTTAGTATCAGCAGTGTGTACATGTACATCTTTACGTAATGGCTTATCATTACAACCAGCCCAACTAAACACACAATCTACTGGCTCTAATGGACACTGTGTTAAATGATCAGGAACACTATCTCGAGGCATAACAGAACTTGTACAATCGTTGGGGCATTTTGTAGGATACTTTGAGCAAACTTCTACATGGAATATAATAATAAATGAATATGTACCTTCCTCATAGCAGTGCTCACAACTGTATGGTTGTTGGTCGCACCACTCCTCCTCATGAACGTTAAGATGCTGACGTTGATCTCTTGTTAGACACTCGTCATATCGACATTCAACCTCTTCATATTGACAATCTCCTTCTCTCATTCCTTTATTAAGATGAGTAGACATATTTTTCAAATCTCCTTTCCATTGACAACCTTCCACCTTATTTGTGCAATAGACTTGTAACCCGTTAATCATACGACCGATATTTTTATCTGCAAAGGATTGGTATGTCTCCTCTTTACACATAGGACAGGACCCATTAGTATCCTTTATTCTCTCAATACAAGACTTGCAGAAGTTTCTACCACAGCAGCTCACCTGATGAGGATCTGTCAAGATATTCAGACAAACTGGACATTCAATTTCGATTTGATCAGGTACTTCCTTAACGAATGAAAGCTCATCTTTTGAGAACCAAGCCATCATGGACACTAGAGGTTGAACACTATGACATGTGACTGTTATGATAACATATGGATGTGGTCAACAATAATAATTTATACCTGAGATATAGATACAATGTACAACAAAATTAATGCAAAACATGTCATTTAGGGAAGTTTTCCAAGTCTATGATCCTTCAAATATTGGCAGCTTGACAATAAGGGATTTTAGAAAAGTAGGATTTAAAAATCTAATTTAACTGGCAGTTTTTGAATTTATAATTGCACAGGTTATTAAGGTGTTAGGTTTTAAGGTAACTAGGAGACGACTACAGGAGC